GATGTATGGACTGGACACGGTGCTGTGCAGCCTGCTCTGGGTGACCCTGCTTGGGCAGGGGGTTGGGCTGGGTGACCCACAGAGGTCCCTTCCAACCCCTGCCATGCTGGGATTCTATGGCCCGAGATGAGCAGGGGTGACACCGCCAACCTTCTGTGGGCCCCACCTTGGGGATCCCCCAGCATCAGGCAGGGCAGGAGCATTCGTCCGCTAAGGGAGTGGAGGGAATCATACTGGGGATGCTGGGAAAGTACCAGTGCTGGCAGGGATAGCACCAGGGTCTCGTGCTGCCCCAGAGCACTTGCACATTGTGCGGGCTGGGCACGCAGGGAAGTTGGAGGCGAATGAGGTTTCCAGCAGCAGCTGGAAAACCTGTGCAAGGCTGCGGGCTCCGGTCCTGCGTTACGTCTTGCTGGACTGGCAGCTGCCATCTTCACCCGCTGCCGCGTTAGCGGGGCTGCGGTCAGAGAGGTCTGGGGGGTGGTCCTGGGGGGAGGTAGGATCTGCAACAGGGACGCTGAGATAAGGGGTCCAAGGGCAGGGCACGCTCATCCTTTCAGAGCAGAGAGTGTCCATGCCGGGTAGATAACGCTCCTGCAGCCCCAGATAAGGTCCCAGATTGTTCCTCCCAGTGTTCAGGCAACACCTCCCCTGTAGCTCCAGCTGCTGCGTGGCGTGGATGCCTGTGGCTGCTGGATCGCTCACAGGCCAGCACCGAAGCCACAGACCAGCTCTCCCCTCGGAGCAGGGCTGGGTGCCTGGCAGCCCCCTTCACTTCGCTCTTCTCAGGTACGGGGTCAACAAGCTGGAGGGGATGCTGCGTCCCCTTGTCGAAGATGGTCTGAAGTGTGTGCTCATCTTCGGGGTGCCCAGCAAGCTCCCCAAGGTGAGTGGGCGTGGGGGTGGCAGGGGGCTTGGGGTAGCCACAGGGGTGTGGGACAGCAGTGGGGGCCCGCGGGGGGTCAAGCAGGAGCATTTCAGGGTCTCTAGCTGTGCTTGCACCCCACTCAGCAGAGCAGGATGGCACTGGGAGACTGCAGTGACACCTAAAAAACTCCCAGAGCTCTTGCAGGTGGCCCTGAGACCTGCACTCCCAGCTCAGAGGTGCTACTCCATCGCTTTTCTCCATCGTTGGTGGTCACACCACCCTGCGTTACAGGGTCTCGCCGTGCAGAAAACGTCTCCTGGGCAGAACTGCTGCCACGGAGGAGCTGGTGGGAAGCCCTCGGCGGTGCGTGCTGAGGCATTTCTCTTCTCACAGGATGAGAGAGGCTCCGCTGCTGACGCGGAGGACACGCCTGCCATCCGGGCGATCAAGAAGATCCGCTCCACCTTCCCAGAGCTGCTCATAGCCTGCGATGTCTGCTTGTGCCCGTACACCTCCCACGGGCACTGCGGTGAGTGCACAGCCTGGGGTCCCAGGCTGCTCTTCGAGCGTTTTCCTGGCCCTGGGAGTCTCCGGGGGTTCGCCGTTTCTGGTTGAGGAGCTTCAGGTGCTGGAGGGGCCTGGCCAGCTCCTGCCCTGAGACTTTGCTCCTCAGTACTGGTGCAGTTCACAGAATCACAGAATGGTCGAGGTTGGAAGGGACCTCTGTGGGTCATCTAGTCCAACCCCCCTGCTGAAGCAGGGTCACCCAGAGCAGGCTGCACAGCACCGCGTCCAGGCGGGGCTGGAATATCTCCAGAGAAGGAGACTCCACAGCCTCCCTGGGCAGCCTGGGCCAGGGCTCCGTCACCCTCAGAGGGAAGAAGTTCTTCCTCAT